GGCCGCTGTGTGCTGCCCGCCGGCTCTGCCGGTTGAGAACAGCCTGCTGGCCTTGCCGCCTCAGGACTAAGGAGGCTGCACAGCAGATTCAGGCGCCCCGGAGGCCGTAGTCAGCTGACACCCGCGTTCTGGTCTTGGGCTCCCATCAGACTGTAGCCCTCTGCACCCCCGTCCCCCGATCCGAAACGCTGTGCCCATCAGGCTGGGGTCTCTTAGTGTCCCCCGAAGAGGCGGTGCTCATTCACACTTCGCAGGTCCGGGAGGTTCATAGCCAGTGAGGGCCGTGCTGAGCACGTGTGGGCTGCGCTTAATTACCTGCTGGGCGTGTGATTGAGCCCGAGACCATCACAACTTGTCACTGGTTACCCTGCGGAGGGCTTGGGGACTGTACCCAAAGGCCCATTTCTTATTGTTGCTGAGGACAGACTCACTTGCTGGGATTTGCGCTTGAGATCGTGTGGCCGGAAAATCCCACTTGTGCTTTTGTGCTGTGAAATCCTGCACAGGTGAGGGCTTCTTAGGCTCGGTTCAGCACCTGGTGAGGCCACCAGCCGGTAGGACTGTTTCCCAGCGCTGTGGGCTTCGGGAGGGGCCGAGTTTGGGGCTGAGGCGCGGACTCTGAGGTGCCAGCCCCCGGTGGTGCCCGGCCACCAAGTGCTGCTGGTCCAGACGGGTGGGGTGAGACCCCCACCAGATTTGGATGAGGATGAAGAAGAGAGTGAAAACCTCATTAATAAACGTGTGCTACTGCAAAGGCAATGTTTTGGCTGCATCAGGTAAAGAAAATCTATATTAATTTCACGCAGCGCCAACTTGTGACTGTAGCTTGGGGCTGGGGTTTGAGGGGTTGGGCTGACGTCGAGGCACCTGTGCCTCTGGGTGCCGGTGGCAGCAGCAGTGAGTCTCCAGCCTCCGAGTTCCCTGTGGGACGGCGCCAGAGCAGCAGAAGGCTCTGAGATGCACTGCGCTGCCGGACTCTGCCGGCAGCCCTCAGCTTCCCTGTCTGATGGGGCCTCTAGTGGAGGCTTTGCGTTGCTGTGAATATTGCTGCTGCCACTGTGGAGGTTGCTGGGACGGCGTGCGGCGGGTCTGCCTTTCTCTGGACGTGGACCCTGCCCGCAGGCCCGGTGCAGCTGAAAGCCCTCTCCACAGAGCAGCCGGGGTCGTGCTGTCTCGTCCCTTGCCTAGCCGAGCCTGGAGTCGGTTTCTTCCACCGCCTCTCCTGGATCACAGATGCTGCCTGGCCTGAGGAGGGGAGCTGAGTGTGAGGGCAGATGTGGCTGGGGCTTGAGTTTCTGGGGAGGGTGAGGCAGGGTCTGTGATGGTGGAGAGGACGGACCGCCGCGGAGCTGCTCGTGCTCCCCTCTTCCTGTCCCCAACCTCGCCATTCCAGGGACCCTCGCCTTGGGCAGTGGCCTCATCGCCATCAGCACAGTGGCACTCTGGAGCACACTGCCGAGGAGATGGTGCCATTTCCCAGTCCCTGAGTTCTGATCTCCCTCTTGGTCCTGCGGCTTCTCTTGTCTCCCTGACTGTGCTCAGGAGGCCTTTATTGAGCAACTGCTATGTGCACAGACAGGTTTTCTTCAGATTTGCTCCCCGACACAGCTACGAACACCCACTGCCCTGGCCCGGAGCTCAGGAGGCTGCACAGCGACTCCGCGAGTCTGCCTGGGGCAGAGGACACGGACACAGTCCTGTCCAGAATTATCGCGGTCCACGTCCCCTTCCCAGAGTTCTCCTGTGGTACCTGGGAATGGGTTTCCCTTGGTAGTGTGCAGTGTCAATGTGCCATTAAAACTGGTGACCGACACCTGCTCATACACGAGTGCTTGGCTCTGGGGTTTGAGGGTGGCCCCTGTGTTGCTGACGGAGTGCTCAGCATTCTGAAGAGGCCTCGGTCTGCAGACAGCTGGGTGGTGGTAGCCTTCACCACAGCGGTCCCCAGCACGGCGTGGCCTTCAGGGGGGTCCAGAGAGGAAATGTGAGCGCTTCTCCTTTTTTAGTGTGCCCTTTGCATATGCTTTCTGATGATGCACGTTGGTTCCGCAGTGAGTGTGGGAGATAAGCAGGTGTACCCTGAGGGTGGTGACTGTTTTGGAGATGGGGCACCCCTGCTCAGAGAAGCCCACTGACAGCCTCGGGACGCGCTGGTCAGCCTGTTGGTGCTTCCTGGTGACAGATGCAGCTCAGGCCAGCTGCTGGCACTGTGAACAGAAAGGACCACTGTTCAACGACTTTCACACTCTTCTCAGAGCTTTGACTTGGGAAGGTGGGAGAGTGGAGCCCCGACTCACCCTCTTCTGATTAAGTCTGGGCTCTCATCCTCAGTAGCAGGAAAGAAGGGGAGACTGGTTGGCCTGGCTGGGCCCCGTGCTCATGAGAATGGCATCTTGTAACTCTGAGGGTTAATGATGTCCTCGGGGAAGTGCATTAGCTTCCTAACACTTAAACCCTAAAGGAGCAGAGGGTTATGTAGCGCGCGGTTTGGGGGCTCAGTCCACGGTCAGCCGGCTCCATGGTAGGAACATCATGGCGGAACAGCTGGTGGAGCCAGGAGCGGAGCAGGGGAGCAGCACTAGCGAGGGAGGGGCAGAGACCACGA